TAACAGATGGAGCAGGATTCTTATGCAAACGAGAAAGGCAGGCTAAAATAATTTGGTGGCTGCGTTCTGGGGGCAGGAGTAGGGAATACTCTTGCTCCCATTGAGGTTGGCTGTACTCCACAAAGTAGGGGCAAAGACTGGGCTCCAGGTACACAGAAGCATAATGGTCTTTATCTCCTGCAAAACCATTTCTTTCTCTTATAAAATCAGCCTCTTCGGTTTGGAATGACTCCCTTTGTGGCCAGTTCTAATGGGTGATTCTGGTCTCAATGGGAGCCGTTTTATTTTCAGCTTCAAGAATCCAGCAGAATCTACTGAAAGAGTGTGTTGTGTCTAATTTCCCCAACTCCCAACCAGCCAAATGAGACCCAAATAAACCTCCAAACTCACTGGACTCTGTTTAATTCTGGGATCTCCCAGACAGGCTCCCACAGTGCCCACAAGTAATTCTTCCTGGTCTTTCCTTCTGATTTCTATTATGATGGTCATCATTTGTGAGTGATTTTATGCCTAGTGTCCAATGTGGGTAAAGCTTATATCTTTTTTTTAAAATTGAGTTTATTGGTACAATGTAGGTATACAATACAGTTACATTCATTACTGGGATCCTGTACCTTCACGTGGCAGGTCTTGGTTCTCATTTTTTTTCCCCTCATCCCTGCCCTCCCTTCACCCGCTCCTCCCCTCCCCATTTGCAAACACTTTATTTCCATTTTTCATATTTTTTTCTTTTCCCTTATTCCATTTCCCCTATCCTTCCCACTTTCCCTACATCTTTAGCCCTTTTCTTCCTATTTCACACTATTAATTATCCCATTAGGATCTTGTGTACTATTATAGTTTTTCACACCAGAGAAACTATTTGGTATTTACACATGTGTGACTTATTTATTTCACTTAAGAGTATATCCTCAGTATGTATCCATTTTCCTATGAATGACTCTAATTTCTCATTCTTTATGGCTAGTAGTATTCCATTTTATAGAAAAACTACATCTTCTTTTTCCAGTTTCCAACAGATGGGCAAATGGGCTGTTTCCAAGTTTTAGCTATTACAAACTGTGCTGCTATAAACATAGGTGTGCATATATCACTGTGGTATGATTCTTTTAATTCCTTTGGAAAGATACCCAGTAGAGGGGTGCCTGGGTCAAATGGAACTGTAAGACTTAAAAGTCTCACTTCCACTCCACGGAGTGCAAACAGCCCAAAACCTTTGCAATTCAGGCTAGATGGTAAAAGACCTTTATTAGTCTGGCCACACGGCACTCTCAGAACCAAGTGGCTGGCTCAGAGAGGCCCCTAGCTCAGGGGCTGAGGTCCTCTTATAGGAAGTAAAAGAGGGGGTTAACATTTTTGGGCTCACAGACAGGGGATAAAGGTCTGCTGACTTGAGCTGGTGGTCAGCAGTCACATGCTCAACAGTCACATATTGATGAGTGACAGGTACCTCCCATAGGATGCCTCAAAGGTCACCAAGACACTCCGGATGAGCAAACAATTTGTCAATCAACTTGGGGCTCCATGTCTGGAGTCTCTAATTTACAAGTAGATTCAGATCCGGACTTCAAACAATACAAGAGTGATACACATTCTTAGGCCAGGGCTGGAACAAAGGTCGGGGCTGTGGCTACAATGGGAGGGGTTCAGGACACTGTCTCCTAGGCCCTTTGCCATTTAGCAAGGGCTTGTAATTTAGGTCCCACAGAACCTCTAGTCCCAGCTCTTTGAGGTATCTCCATATTGATTTCCATAGTGGTTGCACCAGTCTGCACTCCCACCAACAATGGAGAAGGGTTCTAAAGCTTATATCTTACAACACACCTTCAAGTAAGGAATTTTGTTGTCCTCACTTTGAAGATGGGGAGAGAAGGAAGCACTAGATTTAGTCTGTTGCCCAGGATCTCCTAGCTGTAAGACAGGATGCACATTCAGGCTGTCTGGTTTTGAGTCCTCCTGGTTAACCATTAACTTATATGTCTCTTCAATAAAAGCTGATCTCCAGCCAAGGGGTCCATCTCCCCAAACTCCTAAAGTTGTCAAATCTTCAACATTCTGTGTAAATGTTTGCTGATTAACTGACTGGAAGAATGGATGCTGATTGACTACATGATGTCTAAATTCAAGTAAAGTTATGCAGTTCCCATGTTTATGGATTTGCTTACATTGACAAACCTATTTAAAAGTGCGAATAACCTTCAACCCAGAAGTCCATATACCCCTAACACTTATCACCACTGACATATTGTGTCTTTGGGGAGGAAGAGCACTGGGGTTTGAGCTCAGATTTTTTTTTCACTGAGCTACATCTCCAGGCATGTTTTTACATTTTAGTTGAGACAATATCTTACTAAGTGACCGAGTTGCTCAGGCTGGGCTCAAACTTGCTGTCCTCTGCCTGAGCCTTTCATAGTGCTAGGATTACAAGTGTGTGCCACCACCTAGCTGACAAGTATTTTATTTGTCTGTCTCTTTCACTAGAATATAAATCTGTGAGGACAAGAAACACTTCACAGTTTTTTTCACTGCTTTAGAACAATGCCTGCATCAAAGTGTGGTCTTGATAATTGTTGAATAAATGAAAGAATTATATATCTCAGGTATAAATGGGATAAGCGATGTGCCTTGTTTTGGAGTTAGAAAGACATCCTTTGATCCATGTGTGTCAGTGAGAGAAAGCTGAAAGGGACTTTAGAGCTCATCCTGCATATTTTGTCATTTTCAGAACAAGTCACTTGCTGTTGGTGACACCAATCTGGTGATAGACCCAGAGCTGCCGCCTTTAACTGGGAGTCTTCTGACCCATCTTGCTCACTTACTATGACCAGACCTAAGGATTAGTTTTTTGATTTTGGTTTTTGATAATTTGATCTGTATTGTCCCTTGCCCCCAGTTTGGGCTGCTTCCTAATTGGCTACGTGCAGGAGCTTTGAGTGGGTCCCTGTTGTTCTGTTGGATGGGGCTGTATGTGCCAATTGTAGCTTTTGCAGCAGTTCTGGTCATTCCTGATCTCCTCAAAGCATTTGTTTCTGAAGCTTAAACTTCAAAGACAAACAACATTTGGGATTCTTCATTTCTTCATCCGGCTGGAGAAGTTGAGTGTACTCCCTCAAGAAGCCATTTGTTACTTTCCTTGAGTTGAGAGTAGATAAGCAGGAAGTTGCCATTTGGGAGGGATAAGCTGACACCCTACTCTGAGGAGTGAGGTTCCTGCGGAGGATTTGCTCAGGGTTAGTATTTTGATTTGCAGTTTCCCAGAGAAGCTTTAGGAAAACAGAGCATGGAAATTTCTATTGGGCGTGTGTGCATGTGTGTGTGTGTGTGTGTGTGTGTGTGTGTGTGTGTGTGTGAAAGATATCTATGTTTGTATTTTATTTTTTAAATAGGTGGTAGGCAGAAGGTTTGAGAAGATATCTTAACATTTCCAGTAAGAATTAATAGAGCAGTTTTCTGTGTAGTCTAAGGGACCCCTTTGGGCTTCAGAAACCCTTTGAGAATATCTATGAGGGCAAAATGATTTTTATAATAGCTAAGCATATTTTTTCCATCAGAATACAGAGGAGTTTTTCAGAAGCTACATGGGCAGGTTATATTGCAATGGAATGAATGTGGAAGCAGATATGAGAAACTAGGAGTCTTCTATTAAGCTAGATATTAAAGAAATTTGCAAAAATAGTAAAACAATGCCCCTCTTCTCATTTTTTTAAAACGGCTACTTTCTATAAAATAATATGTTAAGGTATAATAGGCTTAATTATTTTTAAATGAACTAAAGAAGTATTTTTAAAATTTCTCCATTTTATTTTCGAATACAGTGAAGACTGACATGTATATCTATCTCGCACTTAACCAAAGCTCTTTAGGTTCTTCAGATGTGTAGAAAAGAGGTCCTGAAACAAAAAGTTTGAGAACCACAGTAATATAGCTGTCAAAACTTAGTCTGAATAAGATCACAGGGAATCCTAAAGTTCAGAACAGGAAATGTCCTTGCTGGATAAACTTGTCCAGTTCCCTTGCTTACTCAGTTAGGCTAAATCTTATCATTTTTTTTGAGGTAGGGAAATAGGAACACAGATAGTTCAGAAGCTTCTCAATATTCTAGCTGCTGAGTGTAGAGTAAAGGAGAGGAGTGAGGTGGAGACAGGACTGGGGCCCAGGTTGTCTTCAGGTGCAGACAGAACTCTTACCCACTTCTTTATGCTGCCAGGAATATGAATGATTCTTATTTAGAAAAGAAAAGCAACAGACAAACTTATTTTCTTCTTTCTCTTTGAGAAATTTATCTTTGGCGATTTTTGCTGATGCGGAACCATTTCTTTGCTTGGATTACTTGGTGTAGAAATTGGGAGCTGAGTATATTGCTACTGTCAATGCTGACTAAAGTTTTCTTTAGGCTTAGCTCTACTTCCAACCTCACTAGAGTAGTGGTTGGCAAAACTCAGCTTCTTGTTGCTTGTTTATCAGAGACCTCAGTTCCTCACTACTGGGCCTCTCCAAAGGAAACTCAAACAGGGCAGCTGGCTTCTCTCAGAGTGAGCAAGTGAGAGTGAGAGAGCCAACTGAGGTGTAACCACAGTGTTTTTTTTGGGAGTGGTGTACCAGGGATCAAACTAGGATCCTTGCGCTTGTGAGGCAGGCAGTGGAACCATTGAGCTAAATCCCCTGCCCTAACCACAGTCTTCTTGCAACCTAGTCCTGGTAGTGATATTTTATCACTTTTGTTGTTTTCTAATTTTTAGAATCTAGTCAGTAGGTCTAGCTCACATTCCAAGTGAGGGGTGGTGAATACCAACAGGCAGGGACTCTTGAGGGCCATCTTGAAGTCTGCCTACCTCAACCTTTTACCTTAATGTTCTGTGAATCCACCTTATCACATGATACCTTCTAAGTATAAGTGACTTGTGCTAACTTTCTGTGGGCCAGTCCGGAATCCTGAGTTTGGACCCTGTACTTCCTAGCTGTTGGCTATGGACAAGTTATTTAATCTCTCTGTGTCCCAGGTTCCTATCCCCAACATGAAGATGATTATAGTTACTTCATGGGGGCTGTTGTGAAGATTGAGTTATCACATGGAGTGCTTAATATAATGGCTGCCATGGATGAAGTGCCATGTGAGTACTTACAATTACTATAGTATTACTATACACAGGGACGTTACTCAAGCTGTATTATGTATTGCTAACAATGTCTGCATGAAGAAGGCATTTTCACACAATCTGACAGATGAAAACTAAGGCCTAGAGACTTTGAACATCTTTCCCAAGGTATGAGCACTGCAAATGATGGATCAGGATACTTTCCCAGCTGTATGACTGACCTTCCTTTATGTTACATTGTGGAATACACCATGGAGGGAAAATGGCCATGTTAGAGGTCATGGAAAATAAAATAAGAATATATCTAATAAATTATTGGTACAGGTATGAATTTACCATTTTGGCCATTTGTATGTATAACAATGGAGATTATTCTAGGAGTAAAATTTAACTTTGAAAATAAATGACCGATAGCCAGGTAGAATCAAAACAACCAGGCATTTAAGCTGTAATTGTTTACCATGTGATTTCCCCATCTTCTCTTTGGTGCTTACATTGCAATTAAATAATCAATAGTTATCCTGTAAGTAGTTGAGCATGCCTATGAAATTTGCGACCTGGAAAATCAACTATTAAATGAATGGAAGTGTTAAATGGTCCGGAAATGAGAAGAGCCATCAAAGTAACAGCAGTAGGCAGGTGAGCCTGCTTCATCCCTTTGACACATCCACTGAGGCACTAAATTCAGTGATCTTGGAATAAATCCTCAGGCTGTGAACTGGTACCATCTGTAGGCCTTTCCACAAGGGGGATGGAGCCATATGGGGCATTGTGTCCTGCTAGGCTGGGTGTGTCTCCTTACACATTGAGGCAGGGAAAGAGGTACAGAGCTTTAGGTCTGTCCAGTAAAAATTCCATTAGCCTTTTCCAGTTTGAATGATTAAGTGTGGTTAACTGTGTCCCAGCGGCTGGTTGAGTTGGCTGCACTGGACGGAGTGGGGCACTTTTCCTTGTGACCTCCCTGCAGAGAGAATCTTCAGAGAAGACAAAGGACTGTGGCTAGGCTTTGGGAATTGATGAGGGTAATGTAGGCTTTGGGAATGTAGGTGGAGACAGACACCACTGGGAAGAGGGCTACTAGTGCTGATCCATAGACACTCTCCAAAACCAGATAATTAATGCCACAGTTACTTAGCTAGAAGTAAGAAAGAAGGGAAGGATCTATTTCCCTCCTTGCATTTTTACTGGGGATTCATAGTGGACCCACATGAGCCAGTAAAGAATGTTACACAGCAGGGTACCCTGTCAAAAGTATCTGGGAATATCAGAAGGCCCATAATGCCCAGAAAAGCCCTAGCGAGAAGGGGAGAGCTTGATTTGAGCCTAGGACAGCATTAACTAAGCAAAAAAGGATGCAAAACACAAGGTCTTTAGTTTTCTAGGGTGGAACCTTAATCTACTTTTTGGGGCTTTTAGATCCAGGCAGGTATTTTAGTATAGAGAAACTGGACAGGCTTTGGAGTTGGGCAGATTGGGTTAAAAGTCTAGTGCTGGGGCTGGGGATTTAGATCAGTGGTTCCTGTGCCTGCCTCACAAGCACAAGGTCCTGAGTTAGATGCCTAGTACCAAAAAAAAAAAGGCTAGCATCACACACTAGCTGTTGGAACCTAAAACGAGTCACACTTTTGAAGTTTTCTTTATTCTCTCACAAAATAGGAATAATAAAACTGATTGTGGATAAAGGTAAAGATTGTATAAAGCATGTACTGCACAGTCAGTGCCTCAAAGATGTTGGTTTACTTCCTTGTCACTAACTATCCTTTCCCATCCTTCTTAGAGCCGCGAGGTCTGCAGGCCCAGCCCAGCCAGTGCCTGTCCCCATATTACCTTACTCCAATCTTAGTCTCTGGAGCCTGCGTCAAGACGGCCACCATGACCACCTCCTCCAGAAGTCTTCAGTTCTTCTAGTCATAAGGGATCTCTCATTTTCTCCTAATCTCTGAGCCACTCTAGCAGGAATTGACCCTATTAATGTTAGATATTAGCTCTATTTTCTGTATTAAGCTCTTTAGGAACATTGATCATATCATATTTATCTTTACAGATCCACAGTACTTTTCACAGTGCTGCACCACAAAACGTGCCCAAGAAATATTTGTTGCATGACCAAGTGAGGACTGAAAAGAGGGCAGATGGTAATTCTGGAAGAGAAGGCTCAGCTAGAACAGAGGCATGGAGACAGGCTACCTGTTATGCTCAGGCTCTAAGCCTGGCCCGGCTTAGAGAGGCAGCTTGTGTCAGTACAGCTCCAGACTTGGCAGATTGGGAGCTTTCAAGGCCTTTGTCTGGATTCCCCTTTCTTTCTTGAGCATTGCCACCCCTCCCTGCTCCTAGGCTTGACTGCATATACCTCTGAACCTGGGTCCTGTCAATCTACGTAACACCTGAACTGGAAACTGTCCTTCCCACAGAGCTCATTACATCACTCTCTGGAGCCGAGAGGACTGTATCTGTGCTACAGCTTTAATTGGGACAGTCAACTCTAGCAGAAATGCTCTAAAAGCAAGGTTGGATTTACCTATCTCTGCAAACATGGAAGCAGATTCTGGCTGCTCCAGTTTTGGGTAGTGTTTGTTAAGCACCCAGCACAATTCAAACTGTAACCTATCCAGTACTCCCTTACCCACAGAATTAAGACTTGAGAAGGAGAAATAGAACTTCCTGGATTGTTGTTGAACAGTCACATTTCTTCTTCAAAGCCAGGATATTGTGTGGAAAAATTCTAAAGTAGTACTGAGACTACCGAAGTGGGAAAGGGGGAAGGTGGGAGATGCTACTGAAATTAGAACTAACTTCAGGTGATTAAGTATGGAAAACACAGTTAAAGTGAGCATCATATTTTTTCTTTGTACTGGGGAGCAAACTTGGGTCCTTGTACTTGCAAAGCGGGTGGCAGAACCACTGAGCTAAATCCCCAGACCAAACTGAGCATCATATTAACCAGAGAGAAAGTACTTGGCAGTTTTAAATTTTTGCTCAGTTTTTTTCACAGAATCATTGACTTTTCCAGAGGAATTTTTAGCAATTACATTCATAGTTTGCTTAGGTCATACAACTAGTTAGTAATCATAACTGAGGCATGGGATGATATCTTCTTTTAGCTTTGTGAGTTTTTATAGTTTTAAAGCCCTTTTACATACTTTTACTTTTTAAAACTAGTTATGTAGGAATTACTATCCTCATTTAAAAGATGGGCAGTTGAGGCGCAGAATCAAGGTCAACTAGATGTTACAACTTCCCATGAAGAGCTGTTTCTCTGTTCCTCTTCCCCTCATAATTCAACTTCCTGTAGGGAGACTCAGATAAGGGCTGGAACCCATGACGGGCATCTGTAGAGACGCTGCTATACAGCTTCATTCCCATGACCAAAAGAGAACCTTGGGGCCTTGACCATGGGAGAATATTATTAGGAAAATCACTTATCCCTCACACAGACCTGGAAATCCCCAGGCTCAGCAGAGTGGGGACTGTGCATTCCCCAAGAGGTTCCCCATGCAAGGCTCCTAACATGGCATGAAAACCTCAGGCACACATTTCCAGATCACTTCTCGTGGCCACAGGAGTTCCCCTACATACTTGTTAAATCTTCGTTAAATCTGTTTTGACTTTGTGTGGGTGTTTAGGTTTCATCAGGAGAATATTGAAAGTAGTAATCCCAGAAAGTATGAAACTGGACCCAGGAGATATTCAGATCTCTGCCCTCCCTACTTTTTCCATTGCTTTGAATACTTCCTTTCTGAAATGTGAACACTGACAAGATTCTCACATATTACACTTGTGTTTTTTCTTTGCAAGCTGCCAAAATTTAGGAGATAATTTCTCTCAATTTGTGTACAGCACTAGGTTCTAGAATTCAGCAGGATTATATATGAAGGAAAATCCACTGTGGGCTCTACTGGTTCTTAAAACAAAGATAAGAGACTCAGTGGCTCCTTGGTATTGCTGTTGAGTTCAGTCACTTTTCCAAGTGATTTTTGCAATTAGTACTGATGTAAAGGAGAATAGATTATAGTTTGAAAAACTAGATGAAAGAGAAATTTGGGGGAAATCTTTATATGTTTTAATTTCTCATTTATTGTGTAGTCACAGCTTTCCAGAGTAATTACCGGCCTTGCTGGTTTCACTAACAAATACAAAAAGCTGCCTTTCTTTTGTCTGCAGAGTGAGCTGCTGGTAGCTTGGATCAGAGTTGTGACTTTCAGAGACTAGCCAGATGGCTTCATAAACAGATTCCCTGGGTGGCAGGGGCAGAGGTGACAACATACAATGAAGGTGAAGAGTACAGGCGGGAAGCTGAAACATCTCTTGAAGACAGGAATGAGCAACAAGGAAGCAACACGTCTGACTTAGTGTTCAAGAAAGGTTAAGTAATGAGGCTACTGGTATCAGACTTTTAGTCCCTACAGACGTCAAGAGACAAGTGTTGCAAATTCTTTTAAGCCTCAGATACATAAATCCTCTTGTCTTTCTCCCCTACTTTCAAAAATTGTGCATATTATTCAAGAAAAACCGCAAAGCTTTGAGCTGGTACTGGTAGCCCAATTTAAGGTCAGGTTTTGCATAGAAGATTCAGAGACAGGAAATACATTGGTATAAAAGCATTAGTGAGGGTATTGAAGCAATACCACCTTTTCCACTGTCTCCAAATGAAAATGTGCTATGTCATTTACTGGTGTCCTTTTCTGATAGTTTATTTGTAAAACCGACTACAGCACCTCAGCATTGCCACTGACTGATGTGAAATCCCACAGAATGTAAGAAAAGGGAAAATTTTGCTGTACAACCTAGAGTCCATTCTCAGGAGAGGAGGGAGCTGCTGATCTGACTGAGAATTTGATATTTTGACTTCCATAGTTAAACAAAATAGAGTATTTTTCTCTTCTTTCCTAAGGAGTTGTCATAAAAGAAAACACCATCATTCTTCCATACAGGTTAGTAAACAGATCTTCTGGACATCTTCACCATGTTCCTTCTATAATTTTATGCCCCTAAAGCATCATTCATCTTTGACAAGTCTGCCACATTGGCCTGTTAAATTTTAAACTATTGAATTTTCATAATCCTTTTTGTAAATGAATATGCTCCCTACAGACTATTATTCCTGAGAGAACTAGGAATTATCTGAAAAAGATGATAATTTATGATAATATAAGGCAAGACAATTGTTCCTTTTGGATTAAACAGTTCAAAGTTGAACTGAAGTCCAGGGTCTTGAATTTTTAATTAGTATTATCCAGTGCAAGAACTTTGTGGGCCAGTTTTGCCATTGGTAGAACTTTCATTGAATAGATATTAGAGAGCATTTGTTCAGGAGAATTAAATGAAATATATTGGTCAGTTATTTTCCATAAGACTATTAAAAGTTTAACTTTAACAACACTTTTTTTTTTATTGAGTTTATTGGTACATTTAGGGATACAGTACAGTTACATTCATTGTTGGGATCATGTACCTTTACATGGCAAGTCTTGATTCTCATTTTTTCCCCTTACCTCTGCCCTCCCTTCACCCCCTCCTCCCCTCCCCATCTACAAACACTTTATTTTCATCTTTTCATTCTCTCACATTTTTTTCTTTTCCCTTTTTGTTCTTCCCCTACGTATCACACCTTCCCTACACCTTTAGCTCCT